TAATAATAATAATAATAATATAATGAAAACTTTATTAATTTTAATAATTTAATAATAATAATACTAATGTCATTCAGTGCTAAGGAACATGCAGAAAGCTGTAGTCTCTAGCTCCTTTAACATTGCCAGGACTTTCAAGGTCCTATTGGACTGAGTTCTTCAAATGACGTTAGCTTCAAGCATAGGTTTTTAATAGGTTGATGGGACATTTATCTCCATTTTAGGGTCTAGGGGTCTACCATCTTAGAACTTTTAGGTTTTATTTGTGTCGGGACAGGTCCTGTCAGACTAAGTTCCCTAAATGACGTTAGTTTCAAGCATAGTTTTAATAGGTTGATGGGACATTTACTTCCTTTTAGGGTCTAGGGGTATAAAATTTTAAAAAGTTTAGCTTTTATCTATGTAGTAGTGACAATCAAATAGGCTACACCATGGCACCCAATATCAATTTTATTGGTAATCTGAAGCACTCAGAAGTGTATACTGCGATGATAATGTCTTGTATTTAGACACAATATTTTTACAGGTGATCATGTGTAATATAACACAGACAGAATAAAATAACGATAACCAAAATAAGACCACAGTGTAATACTAATACTGACTAAACTATTTACATTTTCTATTTACAATATTTACATTCTTATTGTCCTTTCCTTTATACTGCTTAATTTAAAACATACATGTAAAATAACATTTTGCTGCAGACTCGTTTTTATTGAAACACTTACCACTGCCTTACAACATGCGCTTCATCGACGGCAATGGCACAGAGTTTTTTGGCATGGAATACACAGAGTTCGTCAGCATAAATCTCCAGCGTTCGTTCCTTAACCACGCTTCAGGGGATCCGTAAACTAAGGAATATTCGCCGCTTTCGACACGAGTGCGTTTACCACCCTCAAGTGAACTTATGTTACCAGCTTTTAGCCCTAGCTCCCTCAAATGGGACACTTGGTCGTTCATAAGGCTTTCCCCAATGGTGAGAAAACGACGACGATATGACCAGGCTCTTGTGAGGTAAGATCAAACACGAGTGGTAGTGCTTCATACAGGAGAGATTTCCCGAAACCAGTAGGAAGATTGACAAATACATCCTTTCTTTCCTCAACTATTTTCCTAATTCCAGTTTTTTGCTGCGCATTTAAACTAGGAATTCGAAATGTATTACTAACAACATAAAACGCTTCTACAAAGGACGCCATTTTCATAGCTTTGAACTCGAAGATGAAACAAACAATATGATTGGTTAGACTATTTTGGCGCGTACAGTTCTCAACATATGTAACCCAAATAGTGATTGGTTGAAGTAGCGGAAAGGAATGTTGTTCGAATGTGAGCAGCCGTTTGTGTGGAGAAGCGTTGCGTGACGAGACTAAAAACGGCTGCGAGGGAGACTACACTGATGGTGGTTTTAACTGGGATTGTTTGCCCAAGATGGCAAAAGTTGGCAAAATAGGTCGAAATATTAAAACTACCATACACTCGATCGCTTTCCGGCGATCGCGTAGAAAGCGGAGAAATCAAAACCACCAGCTACTTATACAGGAAATGAAAGTTAATATTCAAGAGATTAATTTTTCTGGGAAACGAAGTAAATTCAAACTAAGTATTTGATTAAGGATCTATTAAGCATAGTGTTTTCTTATTTGTTTGCTTATTTTAATTTAATTTCAGAAGATAGAGGGAAATTACAGCCGAAGAGAAGATAAAGAAATCAAAGAAAATAGAAGTCTAAAGCAAAGAAAAAATTCACAAAAAGAATTTAGGAGAAGTTAGGATTGACTTTTTCTCCGAAATTGAAAGTTGCTTTTGTGAAATTCAATATCAAGTGACGAGAAGGCGTCATTTTAAAAAAACCAAAAAACGAATCGGGACTTCGAGACCCTTAGCCTTGCAAAAAATCGAGACTCCGAGACACCTTCGTATAAAAAACAAAACTGCGAGACACACATAACCGCTGAAAAAACGAGACTGCGGGACTTGCGAAATTGGACTAAAATTTTGCGAGACTCAGAGTTTTTGAAGGATCATTCGCCACCCCTCTTACTGGACGGTTGACGGTAAAATTATTGCGCTTTTGACGGTTTGCGGTTAATATTTTGGCCATTATAAGAGATTCTAAAAAGTTAAAATACTTAATATGTGTCTGTGTGTGCTTTCCTCACCTTCAATATCTGTCCATCATCTGGGTACTGATCAAGGATGGTCCTCAGCTGCGTGATCAGCGATGGCTGAATCAAGCTGAAGTCACTGTCATCGTCTGCCAAACAGCAAACAACGAGAACACTTGAATGGAACACCTACAGCTTCCTGATTGTCCCAGTCTTATCAAAACAATGCCGCCAAGACTTATATTTAGGGGCCTGATTGCATGAGCCGGGCTGGCCCGGTTAGCCTAGCTGATTTCTTTTGTTTTCACGCTCTGGAGAACACCAAAACAAAAGAAATCAGCCCGGCTAACAGGGCCAGCCCCGCTCATGTAATCTGGCCCTTATAGACTGCGTTTTGGTCTTTATCTTTTTGTTTAACATATACATACCCATCTTTGCGACTTCAGGCTTTAACACTGTTAGTCCATCTATCTGAAGAGAAAGTTTGAGGCAATAACCATACTAACTTGCTACAGTTTCATCCAGTCATAGAAAGATCTAAAAAAAAAAAAAAAGAAAAAAGAAAAAAAGCCTTGTTCAGTTTGAAATTATAATTCAAATTGCAATATCTTGTGCAACGCTCGAACGTTCAGTATAAAACAGGTGAAAATTTTCACGAGCTATAACGCCGTGTGAGTAAAGTGCATACAAAGCTTTGACGACAGCCATTCTAGAAACTTCCTCGCAGACGCAATCCAGAATACATTGAGAACAAACGTACGTACTTCCAAAAAATTTTACCGTAGTGTGACCAGTTAATAGAAATTTCTAACGCATGCTAAGAAAGGTTTAGAACTTAGCAGATTGTCACGATAGCATTCTAACCGCTTGAGAAGAGATAAAAAAGTGACGAAAAGGATACTACACGGGCCAAAAACATCTTCTGCATCTGTTGAAAAAGAAAACTCTGGAAACGCTAGGTAATTTGCGTCGCAAGATCAGTTTTACCTATCATTGAGTCAATATTGTGATAAGTTTTTCACTAATCTAAAAAGCCTTTTATGAAGCCCTTATTTTTTAAGTACTTCGTGTCTAACCAAAACAAAATAGAAATCCACAACTTGTAGCTTTCGGGGATTGAGCAGCAATTTCCAACGGGTAAAATAGTGAAAGGGGAGCTAAAGAATCTACAAAAAATAATTAGGACTTCAATTAGTTTTCTCGCTCATGCTGCCAACTGTAACTAAAAGTCATACTGAGTTCCTTTCATTTATAAAAATGCAAGAATATTTTTGGATTTGTTTAAATCCATTCGGATGACATGAAAATTCCTCTAACTCAGCTTATCAATGACTAATAAAAATACATCCAGCTCTCCAGGAATTATTAACACTTTCTTTGCTTTCTATAGAAGCAATTTTTCAGCTGGTAAGACCTTCCCAAGAAACCAAATATATTTAACACAATGACATTAAACACAAGGACATGAAAGAGGAAAAAAATCCATGGTTTTAAACAGCATCTGAAGCAAAATCAACAAATAATCCGCGGGGTTTTGATAGATTACCCAGGTAAATTGAAGATACAATAATTTTAATTAAATATGCCATGAACTTAGAGCATTTTCTTTACCTTTCCAAAAAAGCATAAAATGTTTATTTCTCAATCTCAAGCTCACTATAACATCACCCATTGGCACTTCTACCATACGTAGTAAAATCATTCGTCATTACTTTGATGCATTAAATTTTCCGTGCGGGTGAACAGTGAACACACTAACAGGTTATTTATCTTGGTACAGTTTCGGTAATTTTTATGTGGGTGAAACAGAGAAATCGTGTGCATATCATCCAGATCCCGAGTGCTGTACCTCCATTCATGGGAAGTTGAGCAACTCGAAACCTTCTGACGATACGCTGTTACATTCCTATGTCATTTGCAATATCTTTAAGTCGGCTGCTTTGTCAATAACAATGCGTGCATTATCACGATGGCGTGACGATTTATACTTGCGATTCATACTCTCGTATACTCTCCGTGATCACTAACTTTCCTGTTTTTTTGTTTTTGTTGTCGTTACTTGTTTGTTTTCACTTCAGAATGCACACAAATTTGCTGAAACATCGAAAAGTATCCGTTTCTCGTACAAAAACAAGGTGTCACACACTGCAGATGCAAAGCTCTGGATCGGTGTGTTTATCGTGGTACACTTACTCTTTCAAACGATGCTGTTTCAGCTTTCAAACTGATCAATACTAGCTGCAATATCGTTTTATCTTTCTTACATCTTCCGAGAAAACCGTCGAAAGGCATTCAGTTACATCATAGCATTTCGATACTGATAATTTCTTAACACAAAAATTCGACATAACTACCATAACGTGGTTTTCCTCTATCGCTGTTGTCGCAAAGGTTTCGAGATAGTAGCGGTCCACAACTCGCCCCGAGAAGTTGTTGTCAGTCTCAGCGAGCAGTGTCGACTGTCGCCGAATTGCATCGACAACGAGTGAGTGTTATCAAATAATCTGGCTATGATTGTGGCATGAACTTTTGTAAGGGATCGTGACGATCACGTGAAAATTCAGATGCAGCTGTTATGTCAAGTTTCGCGTCTATCATAAGTTGCTGAGCTGTATTACCTCAACAGTCATCCTTGGAATTTCACGTGACTAAGAAGTTTAACTTCCTTGTTGACTTGATGTTCACTGTCGTGAAGAACAGATACCACAAACTTTCTGTTCACTCAGAAATTCTCTCCTAAACGGTAGACGGATAAAACAATTCTGTTCTGATTCACCGACCACATGAATAATCGCTGCAAATTTGCATCATACCGAGAGACTAGCAGTCGGCTTTTCGCGACTTCATGAATACTTCTCCAATTCCAGATTTTACTTACGTAAAACATGCTTCAAACCTTACTTACTTCGCTCTTCTTTCAAACGCTTCCAAAAGAGTTCTTCATCTCTTGGACAATGGCCAATCCATCAACAATTACCGCTCACGAAGGTTACTTGCATAAGCATGACCCTTTCTTTAAATACGATGATTAAAAAACAATAAAAAAAAAACGCGATTCTAGGAATTAATTTCAGCTGCAACCTCCGGTCATGTCTTTCCTCGAAGGAGGGGGGGCAGGTGCACTTTGGTTTACTTGGTGGGATCCACCATCTGTCTCTCTAAATCCTGATCCTGATCCTGTTTCAGAGCAAAAAGCGATTTCCACTTTCTGTTCTTGAACGCGGCCTGTGATTTCATACTCCATTTCAAGCCTAATGTTGGAATGTTGCATTCGATCTAGGAAGCGGTTACGATTTGTTCAAATGTGAAGTGAAGTGAAGTGAAGTGAAGTAAAGTAAAACTTTATATAGGGAGGAAACCACATCACCCTTGGGTGGTTTTCATGAGGGACCTCCATATAAAAATAAGTTAATTACAACAATAATTGTAAAATGTTCGAAGTACAAGAACTAAATACATTAAAAGAATAGAAGATAGATGAAATAAATTAATGAATACTGAATATGATATTAATTGACAAAAGAAGAGAAGGTTATATATTATTAAAATATTGTTTCTTAAAAATCCTATAATTTACTGTCTTAAGTGGTCCATTTTAAAGAGTCCCATTCATTGAAAAACATATAAGCCGAATTAGATTTCCCCCAGTTAGTTTTTACTGTAGGGAGAGAAAACATAGATTTATTTCTTGAGTTATGGGCGTGAATTTCCTCATGCTTAATAACATAATCAAAATCATTTTTTTTTGTAATATAATGAAAAATAAAAGATAACCTATGAAATTTTCTCCTATATTCTAAATCTTTCCAGCCCAGTGACCTCAGTGCATCATGAATAGAAGAAAAAAGGGGTTTATCAGTTATTAATTTCGCAGCCTTATTTTGAAAAATTTGGAGTCTGTTCATAAGGGTGCAACTAAACCTATCACCCCACACTACGTCAGTGTAATCAAAAATTGGTAGAACAATTGTATTGAAAATAATCTCCCTAGATTTACTAAGTAGTAAGTGCTTAATACGTTTTATCATTCCTAAGCGTTTTGAGACTTTGCTGCATATTAAATCAACGTCGTCAGACCAGGTAAGATTTTCATTAATCGCAACCCCTAAATATTTGTAATTTCCAGTTCGTTCAATGTTCTCATCAATAATGTTCAGGTTTACTTGTCCCAATAGCTTCAGTCTCTTTTGACCACCAATCAGCATTAGCTTTGACTTTTTGATATTAAGGGTAAGTCTATGCTTATTTAACCACTCCTTTACGTGATTTAAGTCTTCGTTTAATTTGGCTTCAAAATCAATAGCAGTTTGAGATGAGCAATAAATAGCAGTGTCGTCAGCAAACAAAGAAGCTTGGCAGTTTTCAGAACATCAGCAAGATCATTTACGTAAACAAGAAACAATAGCGGTCCAAGAACACTGCCTTGTAGAACGCCAATGTTCATGGTTCTATTTGATGAAATGGAATTGCTAACTAAGGTTTGACAGCCACGATTTTCAAGATAGGATTTAAATCAAGGAATAGATAACACATCCATGCCAAGGGATTGCAGCTTTAAGAGGAGTATGCGATGATTTACAGTGAAGCGCTCAAAAGCTATGCATCAATGCTGAAGCCAAGAATTAAGCTCACGCGAGAATTCTTCTAAATGCAAATGAGATAATTTTTTATTGTTTACTCATTATTCATCGGGTGTAAAGGAGACAAATTCGTCAATGCGTTCTCTTGGTTTCCCTGAAAATCATTACCGATTTTTTCGTTTTCAACGACTGTAGTGTATTGCGTTACATGGCGTTACATAACGTTACTACTGTATGGGCATTTCCTCTTACTCAAAAAGTAAAATAACTAATTACGAATATTGTATAGTAAATATACCATCTTGATTATCAACTAAAGGAAATGAAAGTTAAATTAGAGTAATGAGAGGAGTCACTTGACCTTTGAATACTCCATAACAACCATAATATTCAAACTGTACACCCGTTTTCTGAAACACACTGGGGTATGCTCCTACCTATAGAGCTTGTAAAGGGAAAGGACCCTCCTCCTACCCCCAGCCGGGCATCGTAATGATATGCAATTTATACAGCCTCAGTTGACAGCTGACTGACAAAGAGAGCTGGAGAGATAGGCAGATTTCGTTTAGTAGTCGACAGGTATGTATCTCGATGATAAGTTTAATAAAATAAATACCTCCAGATCTGTGATAAAAGGAATCAAAGCTCCCACAAGCTAGGAAATACAACATTGTCTACCAGCATTACCTTCAAAGATACGATTATCTACCAAGTTCAGTTTGTATACATGGTATTGATATCCTAAAAATAATAAAAGTCTTCATTTCACGAAATAAGTCATTTTCTATTCACAAGCCGATTCCTTAGTGGAAACAAAGAGCTCAGTGATATTTGCTTCGCATTGAACTCAACACGCGGCCTTGTGGCTCATTTGCTATGAGAGCCGAACGCAGTTGTAAACGCAATTAACGAATTCTAAAAATAATAAATTAAATAATCATCTTCTAACTCATTTTACCAAGTAATAGTCAAATAGGATTAATTTGGAAACGAATCGTCTTCATCATGTTCCATTTTGTTTTGGAAACATGCGGATAACTAGAAATGATCAGCAATAGGAACAAAATGGTTATTTAACCGTTTGCATCTTCAAGTCAATTTCCTCTGGCTCGAGTTTGGGTCCATGGTATAATGCTGGTCTAATTTGACATCGCGTCGCTTTAAATCATCACAACATACAAATGCATCGACGAACCTGATTTCGCCGCTTATAAATATTTCCCTCTCAGGATTCTTAACCATGTTGTTGTTTCTTACCTTTGTATAAAACTGACGAAGTAGTCCTAGGCGACCTTTCAACGATTTCCGAGACTTTTCGTCTCGAATAAGAATGAGGATCTCCTTCGAATAAGATAATTTCTCAGAAACTGTTGGGTGGTTTCCGACAGTAGCTTTCTGGAAAAACAAGTTCGTATTTATTTCACGTGATCATCACGTTCCAAGATGGCGGATACCCGGATACCGGAAGTGACATTTCTTTGACTTGTCACGGACCTGAAGAAAATCATTGGCTTTACATTAGTGATACGTTCCCCATAAACTGCGGTTAAATGCGGATAGAAGAAACATTCCTGGATAAAGATAGTATCTCCTACATAAGAAACTTCCCAAAATCAAGCTATGTAACAGCGCCACCTTTAGTTTTCCGCTTCGCTTTCTAGCGCCTGAGAAAGTGTAACTCCACAAGTCCAGATTAACATAAAAAAGCAATGTTGAAGGGTTCAACTGACAAATTGAAGGTACGTAAACTAGATTAGCAGTGTTGCGGGACAAACGTGATAACTAAAAACCAAGGGGAATGCGGCCTGGTGTCATAAAGAGGAGAGCTTTTATCGTCGGCGTTCAGTTAGTCCGTTTACGATGCTGTTGCAGAAGCTGAGACTACGTGAAAGGTGATAGCGAACCGTCCAATTTGCTGACTATTTACAAGGACATCGTCTACGATTATCACTTAAGCCGGGCGAGTAGAACCGAAACACTTTAACTAACTGTGAACAGGCAACCAAGGTTAGGAAGTATTCAAGTGTCTCTCGCAAATATTTTCTTTTCTCTCTTTTTTTTCACAAGGAGCATAACGTGACAAAATTAATTGAAGGCTTAATCATGTACATATTGATATCATCTGGGTTGGAGTATGAAGTCCAAATTCCAAATGGCATACACTAGCTGGGGGCGGTATTCTGTCTAAATTGTCCCAGCCCCTGCAAGAAAATCTTCTTTGTTTGATCGATTATCTCTCGAGAGAATTTCAAGTCCTCCTCTTTAGCTTTCAGCGTGGAAATGAGTGCATCTTTAAGCGCATCATTTTCGTCTGTCTGAATGGCCAGCCCACATGAGAAACCAAAAATATCGTGTTAGTTTGATTTAAGAATTTCCCGGTAGAGTAGAGGTCTAATATGACCCCTACCACGAAGAATTCAGACTGTTATAATTTATGAAGGTTCCTTCAAGTTTTAGGAAATAAAAATATAAATGTCGACTATCGTATAGCATCGAGGTTCGACCCCAAAAACAGAGCCATTACAATAAGAGATTCCTAACTGAAAGCAACCCTTAATAAAACGCATTGTCGATAATCAGGTTCAAGCTGATAAAAGTACATCAACAGTGCTATCAAATTTTGAAAAGCCTTTTTGGCGTTTGCCCTTTCTTAGAGCGTATTGCAATGCACTCGTTAACCACTTTCAAAACTGACTACTTTGCGTATTTATAAAGTCGTTGGCACACAAGGAATTGACAATAATCGGCCACGTGGGATATTTACGTTAGTTTCCCAAGTCTTCTGCCATTCCTTGTCGCTCCTGGTCTATGCCCCCCGACCCATACCCTCTATCCCGCCTCTGGCCACGCCCTGTCCCGACTGGGCTCTACTCAGCTGCTTGTCCACGTGAACGACTTGACGTCGTTCTTGTTGCCATCTGTTGATTGCCTCTAACTCACTGTTTTCAGCTTCATCGACTCTGAAATATCACAAAAATTTATGTTCTCCATCGAAAAAAGTTACGATAGCTTAGCTTAAGTAATTTTCAATTATATAAGACCTCAACCACCTATCTAGCGAATTTTACATAAGAAAACGAAACAAAAAATTAAGAACTAACAACCGACGGACTAAAATGCTAAAAGAAAAAAAGAGTTGTAGTTGTGGTCGCATGAAGTCCGTCTGGCACTAGTTGCAAGCTAAATCACTGACCATCAGGTAATTTATATTAAGCTCTCCGTCTTACATCGATTTGTCACATCCAATCCGTTAAGCCGTTAAGTATCCAGGGCACTGTGCACCCCCCCCCCTCCCATTCACGTTATCAAAGCTAACTGTGTGTAGATTATCTTGGGGTAATCCAGGGTAACCAGTTCTAGGAGTTGATCTCGCTCAACTTCAGCCGCCTGACACAAGGACTTGTGCTCATGTCCTTGAGATTTTAAGAATTGGATCTCCTCACTGAAACGATCATAATTGAACAGAAATCAATGGGGTGTTTCTCTCAAAAACAAATTATGGCTAAACTATGTTCTGCTGTAAGGCCTAGTTTATACGTCGCGCTACAGTCGAATTTAATTCCATTAAATTCGTCATTCCGTCGACGTAAATCGTGGCGTGGTTTTATGCGCCGAAATTAATATGATGGAAGATTTAATTCTCGTCCCAAATGCAGTGCCCCTGGTCAGGTGTTATTTTGAAACAAACATGGCGCGGGCTAAAACTTTGAAAACAATTTGCTCGAAAAAATCTTCATCGCTCTGACAATCTTTGGGAAGCTTTTCTATACAAGGAGCACATTTGAGACAATGCCCAACACATTTATTTGGTTGCCAGCCGATAGCTTCTTCATTAACTTCAGGAACCGAACATTCCGATCGAACACAAACACTTTTACCACACGTTATACAAGAATACTTCGTTTGTTTCTCGCAATTACTGCAAGAAGATGACAAACTTTTCCTCCAAAGCGCCAAAGCCGTAAAACTACAACGTAAACTCGCGCGGGAAGTGCCCAAGACGAGCTTTTGCGCATGCGGAATACTTGAAAAGCTCGCTACGGGTCGCTGCGGGCTCACCAAACTCAATTGAAATACATTAAGAAAATGTATGCATTTCATTCGACGCGACGCTAGTGCGACGTTAAAACTGAAGTCGCGTTATCGATATTTTATCTGTCTTATCAAGACGGATAAAACGTCAAGGACGAATTTAATTTACCAGACGAATTTAATTTGTTTTAGACGTCCGGCTATTGTCGAATTTAATTGCTTGTGGGACCTTGAATTCAATTTGTCTGAATTAAATTCGACTCTAGCTCGACGTGTAAACTAGGCCTAAGAGAGCCACTGTTCCGGACAAAACAAAATTTCTGAAAACACGAAAAGGAAATACTGTGTTGCTGAGTTAGAATTTTGGGAAACATCGTTTCTTGTTTGTCAATCTGGATTTTTTCCTTTTTTTTTCCTGATCCACCCTTTTTCTCTTATTTTCTTCCATGCATAAAGTAATCAGCAGCACCACTTTTTTACACACCTGCCTCCAACACTGTTCTGGTGTCCCCTGCCTCCACGTCCGCCACTTGGTGGTGTGAGCTGCAGCTAGTGTCCCTGAGCTGAATTCCTTCCCCGCGTGCCGTTTATACTTCCTCGTGACTTCACGTGTCGTCTAGCCCGACTATCGGGAACGGAGTAATTATAACCCTGGCTCCTTCCTGGTCCTTCCAGATGATGCTTTGATGGATTTCCTTGTCTGTTATGTGACATGTAACTGTTATTTTGAAGTCCTTCGTGCTCGGCCTCTCCACATGGGTCCTCTTTCCACAAAGCCGTTTACCGGCAATAGTCCTTTTAAGACTGGCTCTTGAGAGGTAGTATTTGCAACAATATTACTATTTAGCCTTTCTTCATTCATCGGTAAGTCCTCTATACCACACGGTACAGGGGGCGAGGAAGTGTCCCTGTTAGTTGCTGCATTTTCTAGCTGTTGCTGCTTCCTCTAAAACAAAAGATATAACTCCAGTTAGTTTAATCCCAAGACAAATACATTTGGCCGTTTTGCGGCTAACAGTTGACCTTATTAAGACCCTTTCGCATATTTTTTTCTTACTTCTCGTCACTTTTCTGCTTGAAAATATACGGATATTGTGAAAAGAATTAATATTGTGAGTAGAATGGAGTCTAAACGTTGCATCTCCTTAAGGTGAAATTCAGTGACCTCTCCTTATTTCTCATGGGTGGTTGACTCCAGTTTGAAGTGTACCGATTGAAGCCTTAGTCAGCTCATTGTGTTCTGATCTTAAATCAGAACCTTCACTCTTAGTGTCTCTCTCCGCCATGGAGTACATTGAACAGCCATTTGAAGTCAAGAAAACTCGGAGAAATACATGTACTTACTGGGGTTACGTGCGATGGACTGTCAAGCCATGCAGCAGAAATAAAAAAACTCCTTTCCATGTTATGCAACAGAAAGATCGATTGGCTCCAGCAGTATTGTGATACGGGCCTCGCGAGGCTCAACCCCTTTCTAAAACACTTTCAAACAGTTCTTTCAACGCATATTCACTAATGTGTCACCGCTTACCAAGTAGGTAAGCGTAGGTTTACCGCACATTCAACCTTCGCTGCACACTTACAAAGTAGGTAACATACCCACAACAACAAACAACAAACACAAAAAAGCTAAGGATTCAACAGTTGAGCAGACCATAAGGGCAGCAATAAGTTCATCATCGTGAGCTCCTTTCTCCAGTAGGGTTTGCACTTGAGCCTTCAGTCCCTTCAGTTCACTAGCCAGCACCTTATTGCGCGCTTTAGCGGCGTCATGTTTCTGTTGTAACTTGGTGTGTTCTTAGTCCAAACTCTCTAACGTACTAACTACGCTTGGGTTTTTTAAAGAAAACAATCAACATCCATGCACAGACAGGTTATTCCCAACTATTCGCGACAGTTGCTATGGCATTCTCGCCTTTTAACGCGTGTACCTGAGATCCAGATTTTCATTAGGACGGGCATACTTCTCGACAGGCTCCAACATTCTAAGTCTCGAGCGGAAATGTTCAAGAAAAAAGAGGTAAAAATAATAAATAAGAAGAATGCAAAGGAAAAAGTGGGTGGCATGGCCCGTAATATACGAAATATTTGCCGCACAATAATTTTTACCATTTTTAGATATAAAAAAATGGTTTGGACCTTTGTATAGGCATATAATTTTGATACCTTCTCGTTTTAAGAAACTTTTAGAAACTTCATTTATGTTTTCCTCTTCTTTGATTGATCTAAAATGAGAGACAATTGACCTGTTAAAAGACAAACCAGCTAGATCATGGTCTGCTATAATAAACAAGGCAGTTGCAAACTGCGTGTGGATGCTGGTGGTGAAGATTGAAGGCATTGAAAGA